TCAAAGATGATGAAGGCGGTACAGGACAGCACAAGGTTCAGATCTGCTATTCATAGGGCTGCTATGAGTCATGCTCGACTTGACGACACCTCGCCACCACCATCACCAGAGCAGCAACATGAGACAGGTGCCACTGTTGTCTGAATTCCACAGCCATAGATGCTGAAAGATGCTGCGTGGTAGAGCTGGGACTTGAATCCAGAGCGTTGGCACTGCTCTTCTTCATAGGGGTGGTGTGTTGGATCCAGTGCTCCCCAAGCCCTTCCCACTCTGATGCAAATGAGCACAAGAACAGGCAGCATCCCAAGGCTCCAGGGGCCTCCTTCTTGGAGACAAAGCTCCTGAGTCTCTGCCTTTTTTCTTATCTCTTAAGGTCTTTTGCAGACTTTATAACAAGTTTCCATTTTGTACCCTCCCTCCTTCTATTTATTTTTTAAAAAGTTTTTAAATTTATTCATTATCGGACGTTCCCCCTTTCCTTCCCCCTCCTCTACTTCTTACAATGCACCCCTTGATCAAAATTTTTCTCTTTTGATTTTTATTGAAATGAAATCTAGTCACTATCAGCTTTTTTCAGCTCTCATTTTCTCCATATCTTTCCAAGGTCTCGTTACCTGCCTAGCTCAGTTCCTCAAACCAGTGATCACCCAGTTAGAACAAGGGGACCCTCAACCAAACGTGAGACATGCTTCCTCCTCTGCTCCAGTCCTGAGACGGCCTTTGGTCGCACTGAACACGGCACTGACAGCATTGGCCGGGTTCAATAACTGCTTATACTTAACTTTACAATCAGCAGTGTCATCCTTTTCTTGTTTCAGATTAAGCTCTTAAATATTCATTTGAAAATTAAAAATGTGCAAACATGAAGTCAGTCACCAAAGTGATACACAAATATATTTATTTTTTGTAAAAAATATTTTTATTCCATCCGAACAGAAGTATCAGGGTGTTGTTAGGTGCTGTTGAGTCGACAGAAACCCACAGTGACCCATGACTGACAGATCTGAACTCTGACCTGCCCTGCACCGTCCTCCCCACCTCTGACACGCTCGAGCCCACTGTTACAGTCACTGTGTCATCCACCTTCTTTTTTTTTTTAATAATAAAATTTTATTTTTCTTTTTACTAATGTCTTCCTTGCCCTAAACTGGTAGCTTTTAGGATAGGACCATGAATTTTTCATCTCTGTATTCTTCACATGAGAGGGAAAGTGCCCATTTTTCTCCTGTGGAGACGCTAGTGGATACTGTGTGCCAGAGCATCTTTTTTTTTTTAATAATAAAATTTTATTTTATACTGGATTACTTACAAAGTTTGTACACATTTTATTTCACCCTGTATCTTTCCCATTTTCTTTACCCACCTTGCCCTCTACCTATCAAATTGTGTGACCTTATATTAATCCCCCATGATTTCTATGAAATTCATTATTTTGCCCATGTGGTTAGGTGTCCTTGAGTTGGTGTTCTCACACGTAGCAACCCTCTGGATGACAGAATAAAAGCACTGCTTGCTCACGTACCATCCTCAGAATCTCTGCTGTGCTGGAGTTTTGCTACTGTCCTGGGTTAGTCCATTTTGTTGAGGATCAACCCACCTCCTTAAGGGGCTTCCTCCCTCTCTCTGACTGCCCACCTCTCCTAGCAGGATTTTCCCCCCCTAAAGACTGGCCCCTCCTGACAACATGCCCAAGTATGTGAGACGAAGTTTCACCATCAAAGCTTCTAAGGAAAATCCTGGTTATACTTCCTCTAAGACAACTTGTTTGTTCTTTTGGATGTCCAACTCCATAATTCAAAGGCGTTGATTTTACTATCATCCTTTTTCACTGTTCAACTTTCACAAGTACATAAAGTACTACAGAGAGTGAAACTGGGAAAATCTGCTGTAAGGGACTTTTCCAGAGTACTGAGAAGCAATGATGTCAGTCGAGAGACCAAGGTGTGCTTGACCTAGGCCATGGTCTTCACAATTACTTGCTACACATCGGAGAACTGGACAAGGACTAAGGATGACAGAAGAAAAATTGATGCCTTTGACGAAGAGTCTTGAATATATAATGGACTGCCAAGAAAACACGTAAGTCTGTCCTGGAGAGAATGAAATCAAGTTTCTTCTTGGAGGCTACAATTTTGAAGCTCTGTCTCAAATACTTTGGGCACGTGGCCAGGAGGGACCAGTCCTTGGAGAAGGACATCAAGCTCAGAAGGGTGGAGGGATAGTGCAGGAGAGGAAGACTGTGGATAAGATGGATTGATACAGTAACCAGGGCATTGGGTTTAAGTGTGTCAGAGTCAGTGAGACTGGGTCAGGACAGGGAAGGCTTCAGAGCTGTTGTTCACAGGACTGCTATTAGTCACAGGAGAATAAACAGTACTTAATAACCACCACCACCACCACACAGAGAGTGAAATTTCTCCCTACTTCTCAGACTCCATATTTCTCTTCAGGAGTAATCATTTATTACCAGTTTGGTTTATATACTTAGGGATCAGTTCTTTTGCATATGAACACATGGTTTAAACTTAACCTTGAGAACCCAAGCATGGAGGAGTACAATTATGTGAGTACCATAGGTCACTCATCCTGTCACTCAATGCAGAGCCCAGCAGAGAGCCTGAAACACGACAGTTGTTCACCCAGTATTTGGTGAATGAATGAATATGGATGAGTCATATAACAGAACTTCTTAGGGTTGTTTTTAACTTCTAGAAAACAATAATTTTCTCAGCTTTAAAATTTACTGTGGGACATCTGTAATTTTTCTCTTCATTCAAATTCAAGATTTCCAGATTAGGAAAGTAAACAAAAGGAAGCCCTGGTGACCTAGTGTGTGAGGAGTTGGGGTGCCAACTCGAAGGCACACAGTTCAAGTCCACCAGCTGCTTTGTGGGGAAAAGAAATGGAATTGCCTCCAATGTGAATTGTGCCCCTGAAAATCTGCTGGAGAGTTCCATCTTGGGATTCACACAACTCCTGTGGGCTGTGATGGGAATGGTCTATTACAGAAGATGGTCCTTCGAGAACCACAGGCGGGTAAATGTTAGAGTTGGTTCTAACTTGATGGTATATAACAGCAAGACAGCAAAAGAAGTATTGTAGGTTTCCCATGTTTAATGTTCCCCCCACACCCTCCAACACACCACATCAAGTTGGTCCCTATTCATAGCAACTTCTATTGGGTTTCTGAGGCTGTAAATCTTCATGGGAAGAGACTGGCCAGTGCTCTGTCTTGGAGTGGTTGGTGGACTCAAACTGCCAATCGTTTGGTCTGCACATTGAAATCTAATCCATATTTAAGGATCATGAAGGAAATTGTGCTGGGTGAAACACATAGTTGGGCAAGAAAAAGGAAGAGTCTATTACAAGCTGGCTTTGATTACATCTCAGAATCATTTCATCCTCACAGATTTGTTGGTTTGTTTCTGTTTTTAAACATATTGCTGTTCTTCTTGTTATATGTCATCAGGTCATCTGCAACTCATAGTGACCCTATGTACAGCAGCTCTGAAGCTTGCTCTGTCCTGAGTGAGTCTCAGTGATTGCAACACGCCTAACCCTTTTACCCTAGTGACTGTGTTAATCCATCTCATCTGGGTCTTCCTCTCTTTCGTTGTCCCTTGAGAACATGATGTCCTTTTCCAAGGACTGGTCCCCACTGGACACATGCCCAAAGTGTGTGAGATGAAGCTTCAAATTCTAGCTTTCAAGGAGAAATCTGGATTTGCCATCTCCAAGACAGACTTGTTTGTTCTCTTGGTGATCCACGGTATGTTCAATACTCTTCTCCAGCAACAACGACAACATGTTATAGAGAAAATCAGAGAAACTTGTCTGGGTTTATATTTTACTTCCTCCACCTGCTTAATCCACAATAGAAACATCTCTTCAATTTCTTCTCTTTATTATTACAAATTACTTTTGAGGATGCTTGAAATTTTCATCACCCTGTAGATGTGTGGGTTCCAGGTAACTTTCCCCCCAGGGTTCTTATATACTACTACTTCATGGGCCTACGGTTTGTTTGTGGTTTTTTCTTTTTCCTGTGGCTAGAAGGAAAATTTATATTTATAGAAAGGGAAAATTTAGATTTATAGTTTTTCCTGTGGCTAGAAGGAAAATTTATATTTATAGAAAGGGAAAATTTAGATTTATAGAAAAGGAAAATTTAGATTTATAGAAAAGATAGCATTCTATTCCAATAATTTTGAGATCAGGAAGGCTAGAGGGATTGGGATTATAATCCAGGTTCTCTGGATGAAGCTGCTTCTTCTGAGACCTTCTTTTGGAAGGAGTGGGACTCTTTTCTAGGCAGACAATGTCTCAACCCACTGCACTCCCACCGGAGTTCCCAAGAGCCTAGCAGTCCTGTTTGGCAAATGCATTGGAACAATGCAGTCTTTTGTTCAGGCGGAGGCTACAGGGCACACAGCTTCCCAGCACAGCCCTGGCCAACACCTCTCCCTTCCTGGCCTTTTCTGAAATGTTTCAGATCAAGAGAGAAACCAAGCTTCAGATCCTGCTTGCATCCCATTGTTCCTCAGTTAGAGAATCTTAAAAAAAGCCACATTTTCCTCACACTTATCTACCCAAGCAGCAGCACACGGCTCATTGCTCCCAGAGCAACCTCAAATCAGAAGATTTGTAACCTACTGACAATGCTTGCCAACAGGCATTTATTTCGAATCAGTGAGCTCACAGACGGGATCAGGAAGATTACAAATAGAGGGTTCAGGATAAGGGGGAATTATCACTCCTCAGGCTGGCTGAACGACGGCTGGATGCCATTAGGAAAATGAAGGGGGGAATATGCTTGGAAGAACTGTAGCAACCCAAGCAAAGTACCTCTCTGCCTGGTCCCCATGACCCTGCAGGCAGAATTCAGTCATACCCACATGTAAGAACAGGGACATCCTGGCATGGGAGGCACATCTTGAATGATGACGGACTTTAGCATCAGTCCTTCCAGCTCTGGTCGACCTTATCTCCTTCACAGAGGCTCAGAAACGGAGGTCTGGATGCAGTCGGTCAGTGGCAAACAGCAGCTCAGGAATGTTAAACGGCTTCAGGAGTCGTGTGGACAGCACAATGACCTACCAACAGGAGGGGGCAAACACACCACAGACAATTAGGGAAGCTGATCTCCAGTTATTAGACAATGGGAAATAAAAATGCAAAGAATGTCTTTGGGGGAATGTATGGAATAGGGCTTAGTGGGGAGGAAGGCTTCAGGTTGAAGCCATCTGGTGCGTCTCCCTGGTGCAGGGAAGGTGGCTAGGTTAGGGTGGCGATGGTGTGATGCGCCTGGCATGGTCTCTGAATCGGACACTAAGAAAGGTTGGGACTGGCTGGGGTTTCTGAGAGGCTGACCCCGGGCCACTGCTTTGCTGCAAAATTAAAAGTGAGTAGGTTTATCATCCAATCATTTGACCTCAGTCCTAAGGTCTCTCCCTCCATTGGGAGATTTTACTCCTCCAGGGAGCATACAAAGTCACAGTCAGGAGGTAGATACTGATGTTGTAGGTGCCATCGAGTCGATTATGACTCAGAGCGACCCCAGGAACAACAGACTTGAACCCTGCCCTACCCTGCCTGCTCCCTCCATCCACACGGACTCTGATACGCTTCTGTCCTTCGTTTCAGTCACCATGTCAATCCATCTTGTTGAGACTCCTCTTCTCTTTTTCTGACCCTCCACCTTTCTCAGCATGATGCCTTTTTTGGAAGGACTCGATGTTGTTGTTAGGCTCAGCTAATTTTTCACTCAGTGAAGTCGAACTGTTCCATAATGCATTCTGAGCTGGACTCTTTTGGCGACCAAACAGCAAGTCTTTTTTCCTATAAAGGTTTGGTTTGAACTGTCAACCTTTCCTTTAGCCGCTGAGTGTGTAAACACTGTACCATCAGAGCTCCAACCATGATGATGGAGATACCACCACCACCACCACATTGATTCTGACTCACGGTGACCCAACAGGACAGAGGAGAACTGCCCAATGGGATTTCCAGGCCTTTAGTCTCTATGGAAGCTGCTGCCGAATCATTCTCTCACTGAATGACTGGTGGATTTCAACTGGCAGGGTTTTGGTTAGTGGCTGAATGCCTTAACCACAGTGCCACCAGAGCTGCTGGACGATCCCAGCGGCTGATATTTATCAGTTCTTCCGATGTACCTAGGGAGCTCTGAGGCATGGTCCACAGGGAGCTGGGCAGCCAATCCGAAACCAAGGCCTCTCCCACAGGTCGAATCCACCAGAAGCTTCAAGGGAGGAAGGTGCACATCCCTTCGGTGCTTTGTCTCCTGGGAAGTGGATGGTCAACTATGAGCCAGTCCTGACCTGACAACAAGGAGCGCTGGTGCCAGGCACTGAGGCTTAGTTAATGTCATTTCCATTTACTCTTTATAACAACCATATGAAGTTGTTGTTGTGTGCTACTGAATCAGAACTGACTCAAAGCTGGCCCTGCAGCAGGTTTTCAGAGGCAGCCAGTCCCATGGGAGGAGATCCTGCAGAGCAGCCGGCAGGTGGATTCAAACCTTGTACCTCTGCTGAGCAGCACGGCTTCTTACCAGCAGGCCACTGTTGTTGTGTGCCATCGAGTCAGAACCAACCCAGAGGTGACTCTCCAGAGGGTTTTCAGAGGCAGTAAATCGCACAAGAGGAAACTGCCCATCTGTCTCCCACACAGCAGCTGGTAGATTTGAACCATGTGCCTTCGGGTTTGCAGCACAGCTCCTGACCACTAGGCCCCCAGCACTCTCTTTAACATTCCTACCTTGCAGATGAGGGGGAAAATGATATAAATGATATTTTAAAATTATATATATAATACTTAATATATAATTATAATATAAAAATATAAATATTATATATATACATATATAATATAACTTGCCAAGGACATTCAGTAAATGGCTGAACCAAGATTCCAACTCAGGTAGGATGGCTCTAGTGTCCCATTTCCTCTCTCCCCACTTCTCTGTTTTCAAGGGTTCACTTGACTGTGATCTCCTCTGGGCCTGTGGACCTCTCGAACCTGAAGTTGTGGGGACCCTTCCTGCTTTCCGTAGGCCAGATCTGTACTGTAATGCAGATTTCTCTCTGCAATACTGGAAGAGTTTTATTCTGAGGCTGAGTTGGGGTATGAAGTATTTTGCAAAGGCTTGGGGAGGGGAACAAAATCCTTAAAAGTACATGGTTCACACGTGTTAGGTGTGCAGCTAAGGAGATCTGGTGGTGTAGTAGTTAAGAGCCCAGCTGCTAACCAAAAGGTCGGTAGTTTGAATCTACTAGCAGTTCTAAATAAGGAAAGACCTGGTGATTTGTTCATGTAGGAATTAAAATATTAACAAAATAAAATTTTAAAAATATGAAAATAAAAAAAATAACCAGACCAGACCAACTCAGACTCATGGCAACCCTGTGTTGTTGTTGTGTACCATCAAGTTGGAGCCGACTCGTTGCTGACCTTGCAGAAGGTGTTCAGAGCCCGTGCGGGAGTCGACTCTCCTTCTTCCTCCCACAGAGCAGCTGGTGGGTCTGACCCGTGTACTTGGCATTGGGAGCACAACTGCTTACTAGATCTTAGTTTTACTGAGTTAAACTGCCTCAAAGGGTTTTCAAGACTTTAAGGTTCTTGGATGAAACTGCTGCATCTTTTTTTCATGGAATGGCTGGAAGATTCAACTGTTACCTTTCTTGGTTAAAAGGCAAGTGCTTAACCATTGTGCCACGAGGGCTCCTTCCATAAAGAGCGCAGCCTTGCAAATGCTCCCGGGCAGTTCTACTCTTGCTAGAGTCACTGTGTGTTGATTTGCCATCGCAGGAACAAGCTGAGCTGAGGAGGGGTGGGCTGCGGGGCTCAGTGGCAGGGTCCTCCCCTCCCATGAGAGAGACTCACAGTCAGTTCCTAAGCAGTACATCTCAAGGACAGCCACTGCCTGTCTGCCACTGGAGACTTGTGTGCTGTCACAATGCCTAGCAGGTGTCAGCAGAGCCCCCATGTTGGGGAATGTTGGGGAGGAAGGGAGGGCCTCTGGCCAGGACAGATCACCTCGCTCCGGATAAGTGAAAGCTTCACAACGGCCTTTAATACAGGATAGAGAAAGCTCTCCTGTGTTTGGCCATACGGGCTTGAGAAAGCTCACCACCTGGGAAGATGGCTGCACATCTGTGGAGCTAGGAGTGGTCCGCACGAGGCTGAAGTTCTCATATCCAATCCACATGGCCCATGTCTGCCAGCCCACCCTATCCTGTCTTCCTGTTTACTTGCTCGTATATAAGTGCGCTGCAGCCCCCAATAAAGGTGAGCTGGACTGACTCTCTGAACGGCTCCTGGAGTGGTGCTTACTCTCATCAGGATGTTGCTATTCGTTGTGGACAGCGACACACCCAGACTAAGAGTAGGAAGAAAGGCCTGCAGATTAAGTCCTGAGAATCAGCCATTGAGAACCGACAGATCACCACTCTGATCCTGCAGTGCATGAGTTCACCAAGAGGTGCAGCTGAACAACTGGAGAATGCAGTTCCCTAAGGGAGACTCATGAACAAAGGAGAAAGCAGCAGGAAGAAATATTGAAGCAGGTACCACTTTCCCACCTGAAGAAGCCCCTCCTTCACTTGGGAACCCTGACAGAGTTCACTCATTCACTCACTCATTACCCTCGAGTTGGGCCCAGCTCAGAGCTGACCCTCCAGAGGGTTCTCAGAGGCTTTAAATCACAGGAGAAGGAGACTGGTTTTCTCCCGTTGAGCTGCTGGTGAATTCGAACTGGCTGCCTGTGGTCGGCAGTGGGACTCCCTATGGAGTGCACCACTAGAGTTCTCTGAATTGAATCTAATAGAGTTTTATGGGAGCTTTGGTGGTATCCTCTGTAGAGATTTGTGCTGCTGACCCAAACGTGGCACCTCTTTGGCTGTTCTAATCCACCAGGGACTCCAAGGAAGAAAGATAGACAATCACCTCTCCTGTGATCTGTAGCCTTGGAAGGCCCTGTGAAGGGTCAGATTGGTTCCAATTCAACAGAAAGGAATTGGAGTTGGGTTTGGGTTTGGTTTGGGGGTGGGGTTTTTGAGAGTTTTACTAATTTATTGTAAAGCTGTGTGAACTGGAAATAAAAACACATCCTTGGAGAGGGACATCATGCTTGGAAAGGCGGAGGGACAGTGCAAAAGAGGAAGACTCTTGATGAAACGGATTGATTCAGTGACTGGGATAATGGGGGTAGGTGTGTCATAGGAAATAAGATTGGCTCAGGACAGAGCAGGGTTTAAGGCTGAGTGCAAGTGCCTGGATGGCACATAACAACAACAACAACAACCATAACAACAACATTTAGCTTAAAAAAAAAGACATACAGTTGCTTTGATGACAACAGGTGTCAGAAGGAAAGGAACTAGAATCCGAATTTCCCAGCCCAGCACCTGAGTGAAGGTGATTCCAAGGCCCACAGCACAGCTGGGCTTCACATGGAAACACTGCCAGCCTCTGCTTCTTAGGAGCTGTGCATCCTGGCCTGGCACACAGGTCTGCTTCTCCTCAAGCCAGCTTGTCTCAGGTGCTACCAAACAGATGAATTAACCAAGTCCTATTTCAACTAGGTCACTGGGCAAAAAGAAGAAGCCACATTCCAGGGCTAAGGCGAAGAGGAGGGAGCTGAAGTTAAGGGAAGGGAAGCCTGTGTGTTGTTACTAAGTATCGTTGAAAGAACTTGTGTGCCACTGCGCGACCCCACGTACAGCAGATGGAGATCCTTCCCCCGTCCTCACAATCTCTGGGTAGAGAGTAGGAGGAACTGCATACATAAAGAAATGAGGGTTATTAAAAAGCTTTCTTTTTTTAGAAAAGCATTAGTCTTTGGAAGCACGCATTTTTCTCTTGTACTTGAAAGATCATTTTCTTAAATATATGGTTAATATCAGTAACTATATACTGCAGGGAAATAGATACACTGAAATCTGCGCTTCCACTTTTTCCTGAATGTCATGTAAAGAGAACCTGAGGATTGCTTTGTTATGTGTTGTCGAGTTGGAACCAACCCACAGGTTACCCTCCTGCAGATTTTTCAGAACCAGGAAATTACATAGGAGGA